TGGAAGGTAAAGGGTGGGATAAAATTTTTACTTTTCTCAAGATTGAGTGTTTCAGGACAACCTTCAAGGATCAAATGATCCCTTGTAGTCCACACGTTATGTTGAATGTATGTTTAAAAAATTGTTTATATGACGATATAATGCGAAAGTTACATTTTATTAAAGTTTGTTGAAAGACATGTATTATTTATTTTCTTATTTTATCTCGTTAGGTATTGTCGATCTGACGTTGATATACTCCATCGATGCTGTCTGCAGTTCAGGGTTGAGTTTCTCTACACTTGTGGTATTGACCCTTTTTATTATGTGACTATTGCTTCTGTGTGTATATCTATATACAAAAGCAAATTTATACCACCAAAGTCTATAGCTCTTGTACCAAACCAGGGATACAATAAATCTAACAATTATGACAAGATAAGTATGAAGTGGTTAGACTACATGCAGCAGTCTGAAGGTGTTAATATTCAACACATACTTAATGGTGGTGTGGTTAAAATCTTAAATTACAGTATTGACAGTTTCTATAAGAAGAGTAACACGGTATTTGCATTTTAAGGATGTTTCTATCACAGGTGTGATATTTTTTTATGATCCTGATACAATGAACGTTGTTCTAAATAGACCCATGTGATCTATTAGAACATGTACATTGGACGAGCATCATAAACAAGAAACGAATTTAAGAAGATGAAAACTATCGATCCAGAATTAAATAGTTTTCTTAAGGACCACACAATAGTTTCAAGTCTGGACGTACGAGACGTCTTTTATGGAGGAAGAGTCAATGCTACAATACTTTTGTATGATTTGAAGGAGGTAGAAAAGATCAAGTTGACTTTACGTCTCTGTACTCATGCACGAACAAATATTGTGAGTATTCGATTGCATATCCCATAGTAATTACATCAAAATTTTCTGATATTCGAAATTATTTCGGTTTTGTAAAGTGTAAAATTATTGCCTAGAGGAAACTCTATCATCTTATTTTTATCTCTGAGAAGTAACAGTAAATTTATTTTCCCTTTTTGTAACACGTGTATCGAGTTCAAAATACTTCCCTCGTTTAAACACTCTGATGATGAGAGAGCTTTATCGGCAAATGGGTTACCAAAGAAGGGGAAAAAGCAGTCAAGTGTGGTTATAAGATAATACAAGTTTATGAAATTTATCATCTTCCCGAAAAATCTAACAATCTTTTTAAAGACTATATTGATACATTTTTGAAAATAAAACAGGAAAGTTCAAGATGGCCCTCTCACTGTGTTACATAAGCGGCAAAACAGGAATATATTGAATAGTATGCTGAAAAGGAAGGTGTGCGACTGAACCCTGGAAATATAAAGTTTACTACAGGCAAAAGATCAGTTGGAAAACTTTGTCTTAACTCTTTCTAGGGTAGTTGTGGTATGTCCGAGGACAAATCGCAACTGACATATATAACACCTGATAAACAATATTTACTCTTTAATGAATGATAAAACTAAGATTGTAACAGGTGTTACACTATTTAATAACGAAGTTAATGCTATTCATTGGAGACACAAGGACGAGTATCTATCTCAGAAAGATCAAACAAACATCTTTCTGGGGGCTTTCACCTGGTCTCACACTACTCTGAAACTGCACCATGCATTAGAGACATTAGGTACATCTGTATTGTACTATGACACAGACAGTACTGCGTATATTTCATACAGAACTAATAATACATCTCTAGGTTATTACCTCGGTGAACTTACAAACGACCTCGATGGACATTACATTACATCATGGGTCAGTGGCGGACCTAAGAACTATGAATACTTAGATGACGGTGGAAACTCCTGTTGTAAAATTGGAGGGTTTACTCTCATTTTATCAAAAGTGAGAAAGTAAGCTTCTCTTCTATAAAGAGCAAAATCTTAGATATATTTAATCCTTCTCAGCATTCTATTACAATAAAATGATAGGAAAATATGCCGTGATATGAAAACACTATCTCTCATTAACAAATCAGAAAATAAAAAGTACCACCCTGTTTACACTAAAAGACGCATTTTATCTGATTTTAACACTCTACCACACAGTTATTAAATTCTTTATTTGTTTTACTTCGTGAGAGGCTGGTCCCGTGTATATATAACAAATCATATTGTATATAATAACATTGTAGTTTAAGATGGATTACCATTTACAACAACCTTTTACTTGCTTAGTGTCAGGTCCAACTGGAAGGGCTAAAACTCAATTTGTTAGCAATGTGTTATGAAATTATTGCAATGTTATTTACTCTACTCCAGGAAAACTTATATGATTTTATAGTGAATTTCAACAGCGGTATACTAACTTAATAGAAACTATTCCTAACATCTGTTTTGTCGAAGGCTTACCTGTAAATAATCACGAAAATGTTCCATTATAGTCAATTATAAAAAGACTTGGCAATTTTATGTGTGAAAGTGGCGAAAATAAGCGAGTGTCTCAACTTTTACATGTAGGAGTCACTATTTGAATTTATGTGTGTTTTATATTGTACAGAATCTATTTCACCAGGGTATAGAAATGTGTAATATTAGTTGAAACTCTCCTTACATTATTTTCTTCAAGAATGTGAGAGACAAGCCAAGTTACATCCTGATTGGCTTCTTCAAAGTATTTGAAACGTGTGGGACACATTTGTCTCGCTAAAACATTCAACTGAGACAACCATTTGGATATCTAATCATCGATTCGAAGCTGCAAACTCCTGACCAAGTACACTTAAGAACTGGTTTATTTCCAGGAATGAGAATGAATGATTTTATCTGAAGGACAGGCAATGCATTATTAAAGAACTAGTGTTCAAATGTTTAGTCAGTGGTTATATAGGTTTGTTTTTCTTTAAAAGGCAATTTCGAGGCAATTTCTTTCAGATACAGACTGTTGTCAGTGTAAATGGGTGACTCGATACATCCACTATATCCTCTGGAAAAGTGGAACCACTGAGTATCCTTACTTGTGGAATGTGGTTAATTTGATAAGACAGAACTTTACCACTATTTTTACCAAGGAGAGTGAGAAAACCGAATTGTTGAGAAGCCTCCTCCAAATACCCTATATAATCTGGAGTCATTTGGTTGTCCCAGAGTTAATCAACTTCATAAATCAATTCTACCCTGTCCAATTCATAATAATGAAATAACTTATCATTGCAGTGTTAAAAAAGTCGATGTTATACATAATAGATTGTAAATGATTTTATAAATATATGTGTAAATAAATAGATTTATAGGTTGTTTACAAACTGTTTTTGTCATTTATTCACCATTACACCTAGAGTTAAGCAACACCAGGATTTGCTCTTAGCATTAATTAAAGCTACACATAAATAAGGTAAAGATATAACTGCGGGAGCTAAAATGATTTTATAACATATATATTTGTGAATGTGCTTTAAATGGTAACGCTGCCATGATGAACATACAAAAGCAGAAACTTAGACGATACAAGTCATTATTAAGAGAGTTAGCTGATAGTGAATATAAATTCCTATTCAAGTCTTTTTATACAACGTCATGCCCTGCTTTTACTCTGTAGCTATTTTCCATTATTGTCATTATATACACAACTGTTGATCCCCCCGGTGAGAAAGCGGTAAGTTTATGGAATTACAATACTAAAATCCGTGGTGGACACAGCAGATAGTCCAATGTGGTTTTGCTCTACAACAAAGAAACTGAACTGTTGTTTCTTTAAATTATAATTTTGCTTTATGACCAATTTCTTTTTAAACTATAATTATCTTCAATTATTGTCAATAACTGGCATCACATCATGAGAATATGTCATTACCTATTATAATTAGATATAATTGATTCATACGAAATTCGCACATAATTATTGTCAATAATTGGCGTCACGTCATGATAATATGTTATTAAATGCTATAATTATATATGATTGATTCATATGAAACTCGCACATAATTATTGTCAATAATTGGCGTCATGTCCTTTTTAAACTATAATTATTGTAAATAACTGGCATCACGTCCTGTAATTATCTTTAGATATTAAGATATTTCTTTGAAGAAGGTTAACACTTTTATGTTACCATAAGATTCATTAACGTATCTCATTGTTTTCGTTGGAATGTTTAATATTAATATGTTACAGAATCAATTATACACCAATGTCTGAAAAGCGTATCAATATGCATTAATATATCATACATTTGAATGTTTTATTCGGATCAGGTTTGCTTCCTCAATCACCTACAGATATATTTATTATTATTATTGGTGTGTAGATGGGAAAAATCATATATAGAGCAGATGTAGAGGAAACAGTTTTGTTTCTCGTTGCTACAATTTAGCCTATACATTAATTTATGCGGACATCTAATACCTAGCTGATTACAATAAGCGCTTAGCCGTACATTTAATGCTAACACGTGCAGTCTTTAAACCCTGTCGCAGGTGTACTGTTCCCTGAAACCACCATTGTATTTCATCTATAAGATCCTAAAATGAACGACGAGCATTTTGTGGCCGAACGCCTTGCGACTGTAATCCTACAAGCTTATAAGACCTGGTGTTTAAGTCTAACGAATTAAGTATCACGCTAGAACGGTTGTATGAGTGGGCTTTACGTGCCTAATGAATGTTATCTAAGGAGACACAGCCGATGACAAGAACAAATTAAGCCTGTTTGATGAATATTAATAAATCTGTGCACAGAGCTCTTCGAAATATATATATTAACGTATTCGCTTAATTAAACTTTGAACATTGAAATAATAACACAAAACAAAATCACACACACCTTTTCTTTTCTTTTGCATTTACCAAGAAAATAAAACGTGGACCAGCGGTTAAGAAATGCTGTTCTAAACAACATAAACTGTTGTAATTCTTTGTGCTAAAACCCCGTGAGTTTAAGGTATGAGTTCTAAGTTTTTGACTTAAAGCTTTACCTAGGATCAAAGGAGCGAATTTCCAGTTTAAATACAAAGTATAATCATTAAGGTATTCTACTTACAGGTTCTTTTCACAAGTTGAGGTAGATATTGCTGCCAAAAGGCGCAGTACTCAGCTCGGGGACCTCTACCAATTTTCGTCGAATTGATGTCTAATGTTAAGTATTCTCGACCGTAAGGGGTGTATACAGGCCAATATTTCTTCTCCCATTTTTCACCTGGACCTTGACTCGGTTTTCTGTTGTCATAAAAACAAAGTAAAACTTGAAATATTAGCATAAGAATTAAAAACTATAAATTTATTAGAATAAAGATGTTTGTTTATACAGTTAGAGATTCACATTCGATGACTTCTTTTCTCTGTATATTATTGAAAGGAAATCAAGTTATCTTGAGTAAACACTACCAGCTGTGGATAATTAGCCTGGCAACAACTTCAAAATATCTGCTTGTTATAAGATAATAGAAGTAAGTATTATAAGTTGACCTCATTATGAGATAATGAGAAGATGTTGTGTAAATAGTGATCAACAGTAATAATAGTTTTACAGTACACAACCTAATATATTTACATAAAGATCAATGGTGAAATGGGTTAACAAATAATCTTCAAATTCATCATATTAACATGAGTACATTCAAATAAATTGATACGCAAATCAGCAAGTCGTGATGGTTACTTTAGCAATGGGTATATAACAGCCATTTTCAAAGCAAAATATTAACACTTTCAGATCATAAAGATGTGTTCAGATCAGGGATTTATAATTTCAGGTCAAGGATATCACTTGTACTTAATCAGATTGGAAAACAAGGGAATGTGGATCACCTTGGGCGAGCAGGACAACCCTGAAGGAGATTTGAAAAAGTCGGATTCCAGCTGTGGTAAAAAATATGGGACGTTTTGTAATAAATGGAAACCCATGAACACAAATGATAGTGTCAAAAACTGTCCATGAGACTCAGGCAACAATATGTACCATAATCAAGAAGGTTCTTTGTCTGGAAAAGTGACACAAGTCACGTGTGTATATTTTACTTCTACCACACATCTGTTCAACCGCCGCTATTTCAAGCAGCTTATGAATGAAATGACATTGTATATGACCAGACTGTCGAAACGAATTCTGGGAAGCCATCTTCCTCGTTTAATAGAAGTCTTATGGAAAGCAAGTACGGAGGAGTGATGTGTTTTGGATATCATTACTACAGTACTTTTTGTAATGGAAACTACACTGCAAGGTTATTTTCAATATGTGCGGTCGTCAGATAGTCCTATGAAAAATTTGAAAAAATCAAAAGACTAGCAAATATCTTGAAAGAATTATGAGGATTAACACAGGACATTTGGAGCAATAAACTGTATGGCAGTATGGAAACGAGGTAGAGTGTATTGTACAACTTATTTAATTTTCTTTTGAATTTTCTGTGATAATCTTTTGTACAATGAATATATTCACCATCTTTGTCATTGCTTGTTGTTTTAGAAATTTGGTGATTTATTTTAAATAATTCACGAACTTATGATTAGTGAATAATAAACAAATACTGTGTGAGCTAGAAGGATAACTGAATATAATAAACAAGTACTGTGTGAGCCGGAAGGATAACTGAATATAATAAACAAGTACTGTATGAGCCGGAAGGATAACTGAATATAATAAAGGAGTACTGTGTGAGCCGGAAGGATAACTGAATATAATAAACAAATACTGTGTGAGCCGGGAGGATAACTGAATGTAATAAACAAGTACTGTGTGAGCCGGAAGGATAACTGAATATAATAAACAAGTACTGTGTGAGCTGAAAGGATAACTGAATATAATAAAGAAGTACTGTGTGAGCCGGAAGGATAACTGAATATAATAAACAAGAACCGTGTGAGCCGGAAGAATAACTGAATATAATAAACAAATACTGTGTGAGCTGGAAGGATAATTGAATATAATAAAGAAGTACTGTGTGAGCCGGAAGGATAACTGAATATAATAAACAAGAACCGTG